ATTGTTTTGCGAACGATCGTTATTTATCACGAGTTTTGTCAGTTTTTATTCGATCGCACGTGTAGTTGATTTTTTTTTTTTTACAACAATTGAAATTTCCGAGTTATACCGAAGGCCCGACGGGTTTTACGTCTTGTGCAGTGTCGTACGTTCATCGTTGCATTGCGGTGGTCGATCGGAAACGGTTTTGAAAAACGCGTTTGTAAACATAATAATATTATGCAGTTGGAAAAATGCGGTTTCGGAGCGAATATTACGAGATTTCCATCATCCAGTAGACCTAGTCGACCCAGTCGCTACTTGACTTTTTTTTTCAAAAACACCGTTTGCCCTTCTGCAATAGTGTACACCTACACGGTTCCGCGCTCACCGTCGTAAACCGTCCCGGTCTTCGCGATGACTCGAACACAGTGTACCGGCTACAACACCCTAAATATTCGCGCGCGGCGTCGCGGCCAGGGGCGCGATACAACAACAATATACACGAGGGAGAGGTTTGTACGGGCACGTTTGTATACGGGGTGTCCCGCGGTGTTTTCCGAACGTTAATAACTGCCTGTTAATATTACGATTTGGGTGTACCGTTAGATCGGGGATTCGTTATTATTCCCGGGGACGCGCGTTTAACGGAAAATTAAACTCCCGTTGTCGTCCCTTAATCGTTAAAAAACGGCCGGTTATTTAGTAATAGCTGTTTCGATTTCTAGAAAACGGTCGCGGGCGCGTCCCTTTTCCCCCACCACCCCCCTCCCCCCCGGACAATGTTTCCGAAACCCCGCTGTACCGCGTCACGCTAATCCAATCGATTGCGTACGGACGATTTCTTTTGTTTTTCTTCCTTGGAAATCCGCACGTCCGTTACACGGAAACCGTCGCGCGCGGATCCGAACGTCCGGCACGTTGACAGACGTTTAGAATAAACGGTCGTCGGGGCGGGTCGGAACAAATGTTATTCTCGTCGGTAATCGAGAGACGGAAATCGATCGAAACCGTTCGTGTTTCTCCGCACGCCGTTACGCGGCGCGCGTTAACGTCAACGTGCGGAGAACGCCGCGGGCCGCCCCGTACGCACTTTGTACAATTCGCCTACGCGCCGCTCTACCGCCGCCGCCGCAGCCGTCACACGTACGCGTCGCACGACAGAACCGAGTTTCCTTGCCGGCCCCGGTTCCCGCGCGTTATTGCGCGCCCGTACGTCCCTGCCGACAACGCACCGTCGCCCGCCGCGCGGACACGGAACGGCCGACGGTCGTCTTTCCACACGCACACCGGCGGCAGTGGCGGCGGCGTGCGTGCGCGGCTCGCGTGCCCGCGGCCCGCGCGAGAAACGGCGCGAATCGGAAACGTGTCCCTGGCCGCGGCGCCGGCGACCGGGCCCCGGGGCGGGCGCGAAAATCGCGTTTGTCTCGGGAAACGGCCCGAGCGATTTTCCAACGTCGCCCGCGTCGGACGCGGTTTTCTCCGCGCGCTCGTCCGCGGCGGCCGTCTCCCGACGGGGTTTTTTCTTTTTTCACGCTCGCCGGTCGAATTCTCGCCGGAAAACGGTTATGGGCTATTATCACACCGATCGTGACGCACGATATCCCCTGTCTAAGCGCGTGCACCGTGTGGCCGGTCGCCGTCCTTCGCCCGTGCGCGGGGCGTCGACCGAAAATGTTCTTTTCTCAAAAGAAAAATACGAAAATGACAACGCGTGTTCCCGCGTTTCCGCGTGACTCTGAACCGTTTCCGCCGCCTTACGGTCGACCGCGGTGACGTTTGCACCGTTATTAATTTTTTTCGTACCACGTGCTTACAAACACACGCCGTACACACGTATGCATTTAATAATTATCAGCTTATGAACTTCATCGATCTTACGTCCGTTGTCATTTGGTCCGTCCCATAGCTTCCCGGGTGACGTTGTGGACGCCCCGCAGCGGAGGCCTCAAGAGCAAAGTATTCGTGCGCACACTCCGCATACGTATATTTGTGTGATCAATTGTTTTCTCGGTCTCTCCGCGATCGCGCGAGGGATCGTCTATTTACTTCCGTTTGTGTGCCTAAACGGTTTCCGCGTCTGCCTTGCCCCGTTCTAATGCGATTCCCTGTCAACCGCGTGCGCCATCTACTGGTAAACGCATTCCTCCTAACACCGTAAAAAGGTCATCTACAGGCTACTGCTTTTCGACTTCAGACACTGGCCATTTATTTTTTTCCAATTGATGTTTTTTTTTTTTTTTCTGATCGGTACTTCCTCGCCCGACACGATTTTACATCGCGATTAGTTCTCCCGCGCGAAGTGTCGACCGAAATCAAATTTAAAAATAAATATAATAATAATAACGCGTGTCCCCGCGTCTCGTCGCGACTTTCTCATCTCGTTCAGAAGTCCGATAATCGATCGATTCACACATGGTATCGTACAGTATGTACCTCTAGGGGGCGTCGGTTTTCCACTCGCGCCCAAAAAACATTGTTAGATGCTCGTTTTTTGCAATATTTTTTTTTTTTTTTAGTTAATATTATATTATATTATAGTGTGGTATTGCATCAATACAGTGTTCGCGAGTACCTAATGTTTTACGAAGAATATTTTCTAGAAAATACGACTTTTGTTTTTACCGGTTTTAAATCGATCCGAAATTTCGAACGCGGGCGGACTGTTGGCAGACAACGTCTCGGAGCCGGATTTTTTGTTTTGTTTTGTTTTTTTTTTTTCAGGTACTTTACATTTTTCGGATTTTCGCGTTGTGAATTGTATTGTTCGTCCGGCGATAAAACAACGATATTAATCATTGGCCGTGTACCGTGCACGCGTTAATAAAACGTATAAAACGCGCGCGCTCGTTTAAAACATCAATACGAATACATAAGTACATAACGGACGGACGGACGTACGCCGTGTGAAAACGGCTTTTTCTCCCGTTCTCGTTTTTTTAATTAAACGGCGTTTAAATTTCGAACACGCTATTACTTTAGCGCGGGCCGCGGCGTACGCGAAACGCTTTTGAAATATTATCTCATAAGTAATAGCGGCGGCCTGCAGTGTATTAGAACGATTTAACGGTTGTTTTCCAAGTCGTTCCCGACGTCCCGCACCCGTATATTACAACCTGCAATGTATAATAAAATACATCAGCCCGATTCGTCCGGTTTCGCGCCTCGTAGACTCCCGCGTGTCGCGTTCCCCGTGGCCGCGGTCAATTCGGTTTTTCGGCGACGCGCGTACAGCAGCGTCGCGGCTTCGACGGGCGTTAAAACGGCACGCGCGCGCGCCGGCCCGGTCGGATCCGGTCGAGAGCGCCCGGTAGCGGCGGCTCGGCCCACCCGGACGATGGCCGAACGCGTGACGACACCCGGAGCCGTTTCGTCCGTGATCGAAACGGCCGTCGCTGTCGCCGCTGTGCGCGCGGCCGCGTGCTCGGGAATTTCCCCCCCCTCCCCTCCCCACGAGGGGTATGCGGCGAATGAGAACCGTCTTATCGCGTCCCGTAGCCGACACCGCGACCGCGGGGAAACGGCCGACCGAAAGCCGGACGCGGAAAAAAAACCGATTGCCGATCATCACAACACCGGGCTTCTCGTCGCAACCCGACCGGGGTACAGACGTTGACACGGACGTTCGATCGCTCGCGGTTTTCGGGGCGCCCCGCGGAGGACACGGTGGAATGCGACTCCGCCGAACCCCGCCGCCCGCGTACGCCGCTATTCGCGGTGCGTTCGGCCGCCAATGCGGACCGCGAACGGCCCGGATCGACCCGCGCGGACTTGCCCCCGGGCCGGGCGACCGCGGCGTCGCGTAAGCGCGCGCGTTACGGAAAAGTTCGGCGCGGGACCGGGAATCCGTGCGCCGCCGCCGTCTGTTCCGGGAGTTCGTCCGGGGGAGCTGGCGACGCGATGCCGAGGCCGCCGTCATACGCGCACGTAATTACGCGCGGCGCGTCTACGCGCGACGTAACGATTTTCGAACGGATAAAAAAAAAAAAAAACAAAAAAAAAGCGGAGGGAAAAGAAAAAAAAAAACACGCATTCGTATAAATAAAACATAACGATATTACGAGTATCCCATCGTCTACAATACGGATATATATATATGTATATATATATTCTATCGAACGGTTTCCGCCACCAGACAGTATAATATAATATTATACATGAGTTCTCTCTCCCTCTCTCTCTCCGTGTGTGTACACACATATATAAATACGAATATAATACGCGTGTATGATATTTATTTTTTTTTTTCCCCTCTTGTACCCGCGAGCGACTCGCGCGGCGCGTTATTACTCCTTTCGGTGTACATGATATAATATTATATAAATAAATGTCGGCGGTGCGGGGGCGGCGTTCGTATCTTTTTCGACGGAAAACCGGGGGAAACGTTAAAAGGCGCTCGCGAACGTACTGCGCGCGCGATTGTACAAAAATAGATACGGTCGTTACGTCGAGCGTCGTCTCGCGGGACCGCCGCCGCGGTGAACGTTAGAACGGTTACCCGGTTGCAATAGCCCCCGCATTCGGGGGAGAAGAGGGCAGTGTGGGCGGTGGTGGTGGTGGCGGTGGAGGGGGGAAGGGGGTGTTCGCCGATATACTAACCGATTACCGGTTGTATGTCTATGACGACATGTACACGGAGGCGAGAACGCGAAATTCGATTATTCCGGTGCACAATATGCATAGCCGGGGATACGTGCGTACTCGCGTGTACGACACCGGTTTTCAACGGTAAGGCTCAACGGTAAGCCCGTTGTTTCCGAAGCTAATGATTTTAAACAACGGACATTCGAACCGATATAGGTGCCAATTAAGGCCCTTGAAATTTGAACTCGGCCGAACTCAATTGGCGGGGCGCCGGGCGCGCTTCGTGCGCAACGTTTTCGAAATAATTGATTCGTTCTGTTTTACTGTCGTGTGTTTCCTTAAATCCGTACACCGTGCAACAATTATTAAGAATCTCTCTTGTATACGTGAATAATGAAACGCATTTATTAATATATAATACATAATTCAATTCGAATGTTTAACACTGAATTATAAAATTGTTTTTGTCAGACCAAACAACCAATATTAAGTACAAAATGTAAAAAAAAAAAAACGTCCTAGGATAACGGGGACGGGTGCAGCCACTGTTATAGGTGTTTTAATGCATACCCGTGGGCGACGGTCGTTAACTACTCTGAGCGGAATTCGGTCGATAGTGACGCTCTGTCAACAATATATATACACGTCATATTATAGTAAAATGATTAAACAGGCTATGTTATCTTTAAGGATGTTTGTGTAATGTTGCCCCGACATTACCTCGGTTTTCCTACGTTTTTTCCGAGTTTTTCACATTTTCTGAGAAAACTCCGGAGAAAATCGAAAAAAACGACCTCTTTACAGTGTTTCCCCATTGAAATCTCCTTTTAGAAATATTTCTATCGTTAGAAATGGGAGCATAATTGCTGATGGAAATGACGTGCACAGAAAAAAAAAGATGGCCGTAATATATTTTAAATAATACGTGCATTTTTTATTAGTTTCTTCACACTTTGGTTTTGGTTTTACATATTTGATGATGAAAATCTCGAGAAAAACGAAAATTGACCTCGCTTAAGTACCACCCCGCACCGATTTTCTTTCAGGGAAATTGCTACGCTCAGAAGTCCGAGCAAGTTTTTCCGGTAGAAAAGTTGTTCAAAAAATAAAAAATGGGGGGATCCAAAATGCATTTGGAGCACGGAAAATCCGGCCGACACATTTACCGCGATATCGTAACGACACGATCGCGACGCGTTCCCTTTCGCATCGTTTGCGCGGCCCGTTCGCGGCGCCGGAACGGGTCGAACGGGTCGGACGGGACTGCGATGCAGACGCGGCCGACGCCGTGACGCGCGGGCGTCGCGTACAATACCGCGGCGGTCACGGTGCACAAACGAATGCTCTGCGGCCCGACGTACCGCGCGGAATCGCCGTACGCGTCGACCGTGACGTCGCGGCCGATTATTGTTCGCGGGCGCGGTACGGAAAAAAACTGCAGTTTTCGACGGGCGACTCGCCGGGGCGTTGTGTGTGATAAAAAAAAAAAAAAAACGACCCGGCTACAACACGACGACCGGTCGATAAATATCACGCAGTGTTGAACGGACAAATATTCGCACGTCTGTCGCCGTTTACCGCAAACTCGTCGAACACGTCATACGGCGGCCGTTATAACAAAAAAAAAACCCCACGGTCCATTTTCGCGCGCGCTCGAAACCCGATCGTTGAACGAAAGTGTACGCGAGACGCGGACGGCCGGCCGGTCTGACCGACCGGGAAATCTCGAACGGCGACGTATTCGCGTCTTTTACGCGCGATTTTAAATGCCCAGCCGACCCGACGGTCGCGATATCGATATGCAGCGTGTGCCACGCGATACGCACATTGTAATATTTCCGGAAATAATACGGACTTACTGAAATTCCGGTTTTTAGATTCCGAGTTTTGCGAAGAACTCGTTGGTTTTACAGAGATTCGTAATATTTCCTTTTTTTTTTTTTTTTTTTACCAGAAAGCCTACTCCGATTGGCGAGTATAGCACCTTTTCTGAGAGATTAAACGTTCTCCGGGTCGATACTACGAGTAGAGAAAAACATGGCTCAAGGCAGGGGGCGTCCCCTTGTATCGACCGCTGGTGTCGGTTTCAATTTCAATTGCTTAACCGTGTAGCGTACGCCACGATTAGAGACGCACGTGGTAGTATTTATTTTTTTAACCGCGGTGTTTACTGTTCACGTTCACCTAATCATTTTCCATGAGTATCGAAATTAGACGTTACACTGTTGAACGGCCGAACTGACGTAACACCATCACTAGGGCCGGGGTTTTTATGCAATCGCGTATTTTTATTAAAACACGACGAATTAATTAGGGCAAATGACAATTCCGTTTCACGTGACGAACGAACAAAATAATACACAATTTATTTGATATATTTCCACGTATTTCGCACATTTTATTCGTAATAACGCTGAAAAGTAATACATAATTTGTCAGTCTAAATCATTAAATTTGGTGGTCTAACGGTATTATATACATATATATATATATTTTGTACTTCGAAAATGGCCGTACACTCGTAAAGTTTGAAAGCAGTTTGTACATGTTTATAACATTGATTGTTACTTAGGGCTGGAATTTATGTCACTATAAAAAGTAAATTAATATTTTACCGTTAATAGTGAAAGTACCAGTTAAATATTAATGGCTTGACTTTAGCTTGTCTCGCCTGTTTTTGTTCGATAACCGTACCGTACCGGTATTATTTAAGATAATAAAAGTGTATTATAAATATGTTCAACAATTATTTGACAAAATATATTCACGAATTTTCAACAGCGCCAGTACTGGCGTTCGCGTTCGCGTGAAAATAATCATTGAATTATAAATCGAAAACCGAATGTCAAACAATGCCTAAAGTAGCCGCGATACAGTTCAAATAAAATTTTAATCTGTGATTTTTTTTCCCAGACGAAACTTTTTCGAACGATAATAACGTGCTTCACTGCAACGCATGCGATACATCAAGTGTTTGGACGGTCCATCACTGTGGAGAGGAAAAAAATCGGTTCCCTATACTTATTCATCGTGTGATCACAAGTCATTCCAAGAACACCGCATACAATAAAACATACCTCTTTAAAAAAAAAAAACTGCAATTGCGGCAGAATTATAGAAATATTTGGGATCACTGCGGTCACATTAGTACAGTCCCCCGATGTGCATCCGTTAGTACATAATTTGTTTTTCCTTTTAGATTTCGAGCGTATCGAGGAATATATTAGTCTTACTCTTGACTTTTGAATATTATTTTTTTTTTTTCGTTTATTTTCAGTGTGTGTTAACTTTTCTTTCCCTTCCATCCTGCATCCGAAGATATTTTACACCGCGATGTTTTGTGACGGTGGCGACGTTCGCAATAATGTACGTTTTTACGACTTAATAGGAAGGGGACGTTTTCATAATGCAAAGAAAATACACCCGAGAATATTATATATATGTTAATTTCGGTTTTATGAGAAATTCCGTTTCTTTATTTTTATGCTCTGGTAAAAAACTTAAAAGAACAACTGAAATATAAATATTTGTAAGAATTGTATTAATTTCCGAAATAACAGAATTGGTATGAGATAAAATCTTAAAACATCAATATACGACCGCATCAACACTTTTCGAAATTGTCCGGGAAATGATTAAAAAAAACCAGTATGACCGGAGTTATAAACTACTGTGTTCAGCGAACAATATTAGCAGAAGCGAATTTTCGTCAGATACACTGAAAATTTAATCAATGAAAATTAACTACATATATATGACTGAATAGATTATTTTTTTACTCGAACAAATCGAGTTAGACCTCGCTGTCATGCCGATACCTTCAATATTATTCGTCTGTATTTTTCCGACCGTGAAAAAACGGGACCTAAACGGCCGCCATCGAGAGAATTCAAGACAATATTTCTCGTAGAATTTTCCAAAAATGTTTTACAATATATGATTAAAAAAAAAAAAAAAAAACCGCAACAAAATGAACTCCGCACACCGCCCGTCGTTTTTTTACGTGTTTTATAATTTTCATAAACGGTTATAACGATATTGTTGTTAACGTCGAATAGGATATTTGAGAATATTTCGTCTACATAATAATACAGAACATTGTGTTTATTATCCGATACTTTATCGAAATATGTGATTCGAAACGATTTTGCCGTGGGGCCGTCGATTAAATGTTATTTCGTATTGCTGCTTTTGGAACTTCAAACAGTTGTTTTCATCATTATCGCCGTGGTTGAAACAATTGTTTATTCGCGGATTCCGCCGGGAGTCAATATTGTTGTCCCCTCAAACGACTGTCCCCGCGTATACGTATATAAATCAGCGTTATTTCGCGCGACAGTTATTGTATTACTATAATACGTCCGGGCGGGGAGGGTTAACAACCGCTACCACCCCTCCTTCTCTCGGATTCGACACCGTTCAAAAACACGAACGGACTCCGGCCGGTCTCCGTAAACGAAATGTCAGAGTCTCTTGGCTCGCGACCGCCGAGTTTCCGCAAACCGTTACGAGGACACTGAAATACACGCGCGCGTATCGATTTCGGTCCGACTAACGGGCGACGGTGAAAAATCTGCCTTTCGCAGACTGCGCAGAACCCGCTCGGTTTCGGTTTTACAGGAAAAATCGCCCGTGATTGCCAATAATCAAAAGAGGACGAACGTTCCGGCGGGTGAGCGTTTTTCCCTATTATCCCGTATCGAAACCGTCCAATACGTCGCTTAGAAGCGAAAACTAAATCCGTCGGTCCTAAACGAACGTGACGTTTCGAAAAAAATGAATTTTAAAAAAATGAAACGGGCCGCCCGCTCTCCGGATATTTCGTCCTCTTGTCGTCTTACGATTGGCGCGCCGTTGCTCCGAACGCGAGACCAAGCCCGCAGCCTGCGTTAGGTATATTTTGCTACATCGACCGTTAGACGGACTTGGACACGTGCAATCGACACGTGCGGGTATACCGGGTGTGCCATCGCGCGGTAACACCGCAACGGCGTGCGGGACCGTCGACTTTTGACCGGACGCGTTGTGCCGCGAGAGGTTAGGAGGACGTATTAAAGGGGTTATGGTTCGCCTTTGTCCGGGGCACGACGTGCGCGAGAACGACACTCGACGCCTACGCGCGTGTCGTTACATTGTACACACAAACGACGTCGGAGAAGTGGTCGGAGAGGTGGGGGAGGGGAGAACGAGGATTTCTCCGGGAGCGTGTAGAGATCACGGACCCCGCGACCTCCGCCGCCGCGGAATATAATATTATTTCTCACGGCCGGCCGGCGGCCGGGCGGTCGGAGGGGGCGAGTGGTTAAAGGGGGGGGGGGCGGGCAGGAGAAATATTAATGGACCGCATTAATTTCAGACGCATTTTTTGCCCGGTCCCGCTGCCGCCGGCTTGATGTGTGCGCGCGTGTCGTGAAAACATTTTATCGTAATTTATAATAATTATTACGATCATTACACGACGGGACGAATAATATCGTGTGGTACGCCTCACCTGTTCCGCGCGTATAATATCACACCGACCTCTGCGACCGTGTACAACTTAGGTGTGCGCAACGCTGACAAATTAAACGCGTTTGAGAAAATTGTTTCCGGCAATTTAACGCGCTGCACGGCGACGTCGTCGTCGCCCGCGAGAATATTATGTAATATATTAGAGAAAAATAAAAATGAAAATAAAAAAAAAAAAAAAAACCGGCCATATTAATCCGACGCGTCGCAGTTTTGACGTGTTCCGGGAAAAGAAAATTATGCCCGATAAAGTATCAAAAATAATGGAATCAGAAAAAAAAAACAAAAACAGACGTCTTAGGATAACGGGGACGGGCGCAGCCGCAGTTTCGGGGGCAATTTAACGCGTACCCCTTGAGCAACGATACATAAACCGTTGCCTACGGAAAAACGATTCTGAACGGGGTCCCGTCGATATTGGTGCTTTGTCAACAAAATATGCGCCACGTCGTTGTAAAATAATTAAACAGGCTTCATATATTTTCGTTAATAATATTTGTTTAATGTAGTACCGGTTTTCCTAAGTTTTTCTCGGAAAACCCCCCGAGAAAATCGAATAACGACCTCTCTAAAGTACCTCCCCCCCGGTCGGATTTTATTTTAGCGAAATCGCCGTCGTTATAAATTCGAGCAAAATTGTGATTAGAGCTAACCGAGGAGGACATCCGTGGGGTTCTCTAACAATAATGCACGTTTTGCCCGTGTGCCCCGGGTGCACGCGGATCAGAGCGTGACATAACCATAGTGTTGTCGTTTAACGATCACGGACTCGAAAAAACACTGCCGGCGGTACATTTAAATGTTATTATCCTATTATCGGGACATCATCAATGGTATGAACCCAACTCAATCGTTATTATTCATTTCTGTTAAAATTCGAAAAACTGACCGTGGCCGTAGCGCCGCATTTGTACGACGAAGGACCACACGCCTGTCACCAACCGCTCGTGGTTCCCCGGAAGTCTCGCGGTTATTTCTTAAAATCGTTCTTTCGTCAGATGCGATCCGATCAAGACAATTCCGGTAACGGCTATTCATTATCGTTTCGCTGAATCGAGTGCTTAAAAAAAAACAATCGAAATGAAAACCAAAAACAAAAAAACCTACAAAACGCAATTGCTGGGACGCGGGCAGAACAGTGACTCGAAAAACGGCTACATCCGGCGGACTTTAATCGCAATGTATTTCGTAATAGTCTAATACAAATTCGAAAAGTGACACACGTTGACGTTACAACGAAATCAACAAAACGGACGACGAGTCGCGTACCTCTGCGCGATGCGACATGAACGAGACCGTGTTTACGGGCTTGCCCGTGGGTAGACGGGTGGTGCCGCCGATAACGAAACCGTTCGTCACTTATCATCAGTATCGTTAAAAAAGCTGTACGCACACGCAACGGCAACGGTGGTATAATTCCATATCGTCGACGTCTCGTGTTTTCCGTCCGCGCCGGAGTAACGCGAAACGAAATTCAACCGTACACGCGGTTTTACTGCGCGCCGACAAACGGAGCTGTCGTGGTTTTAACTCGCGGCCAAGTGCGTTTCAATCCGGAACAGATGCCGTTCGAAACACGGTCCAGGCGACAGAGTTGATTTCGTCACCGGAAAAACGAGTTGATCTCCGTGTAAATATTGGGCGCGACCCCGGGTTAGAGTCCGAATTGCGAATAATAACCGATTATCGTTATCGCCGGAAAGCGGTAAATCCGAATTTTTTTCCGCTCCGCCCCGTCGGCAACGGCGACGGATCACAATTATTCAATTATCGATTTGGGTCGGTGAAAATGCTATATTCGAGGCGTGTTATAATTATAATTATAAGGCGCATTATTTTACGTGTACCTGTAGTTAAATTAGACGTCGTTTTACGGTTTATTTAATTTTTTTTTTCCCGGCCGTTATTAATGCAATCAGCTCGGTCCATCTCTCGACTTAAATTTTCTCTTAAAATAATTTCACATGACGCATTATCGCGTTTTATCTCTTTGTGCGCCCGGACTTGTCATCCCATATCATACTCTCGTAATAATAATCATATCATATAAGGAATTCTTTGATCATCGCGCACCGCAAAACATGGAAAATTACACGGCTTTGTTGTTCTTGTCGTAATCTATTTAAATTCGCCCCTGCAGACCCCCGCGCCGTGAACAAATGCAAAAACAGCAGTACGTCGACGCCGCAGCGTACACACATTAATAATAATGATAATAATAACACTAATACGATGTAGTATTCCGCTGAAAATATTTTATTATCAAAATATTATTGCGCGCGGTTCCCGAGCCGAACGTACGTGAGCATTTCATTATTACGGCGTTTACTATTGTACCGTAGCGCTAGCATCTTGTATAGCAGAATCGACGGAAATCTCTCCACGGTTTTGTCTTGGTATATATAAAAAACGAAAAAAAAAAAAAAAAAAAAACGGTTCAAATCGAAATCGGTCGCTTTCGTTTTTACACCGGGCGAATAAACAATAGAAGTCTTCGGCGTGTTTAGATATCGGAATTTGTTCTGGTAACGTTTAACCGCAAACAAATAGAAACATACTCGAAAGTTTCGAAATTTATAACGAAACGCGTTGGAATTTCTAACGAAACTACGAATCGAACGGCGATGTTTCAGACATTCATGTATCCGACCCTCTCCCCAACAACCACCAATGAAATTCTAGAAAATTCGTATTCAAATATTTCGTACGTCATCTCTAGGAATTTGTTTGGTAGTTTTTATAATTTGTTCGACGCTGGCATCCGTTTAATATGCTGAAGGGGGACAGACGACATATGTCTCCAGCCCCCACCAATGTAAATAATTACACCACCAACACCGCCACTCGCTGCTCCACTGCCGGTACCAATCGTATACGCTCAGCTCCGAACCCGGATTAAGGGTCCAGGGAGAGCCATGGCCTCCCGGGTTACGAAAATTCTGGCGCTCAGGTTTTGTCACAATATGCATAAGATTCTGAGTGTGGTGATTTTTTTATTATTTTTTTTTTTTTTATTCTGCGGACAACTTTTCTGCTAATAATTTTTCTCTTACTTACAATTATGGCATTTTTTTCGATAGGAAATTTGAATTTCCAAAGAGCTTTCTCAATATACTTGAAAAAAAAAAAAGAGGAAAAAACGGGAAAATGTACGAAATGTAGGTATTAGATAAAAACAAATATATATATTACGGCCTTTTTTTCCCTGTGAACAATTTTTTTACCAGTTTCGTTTTTCCGTGATTTCGTAGTATCATAAATAGGGATTCCTAGTTCCAAGAATGATCACCATGCAAAAAACTCGTTTAAGGTTTTCATAGTAACGACTAAATATTTAATCCATGTATTTCATTGTAAATTCCCAATAGATACAAACGAAGCGCGTGTGCAAAAAGACGTCCTAGGGTAATACGGACGGGTACAAACACCATCATAGGTAATTTAATGTACATGTATTTGTTAGCAACGATGAACCATTGTTAATGAAAAAATTATTCTGAGCGGAGTTCAGTTATCATATTTTGACCTCCCCAGTCGGATTTCTTTTTAGAAAAATTGCTATCATTATTGGAGCAACATTGCTGGTGGAAAAGTTTTCCATGGAGAAAAAAATAAAAAAATAAACATCATTGTAAAACCATAAACTTCTTCACTCCACTCGGAATCTAAAAACATGTTTATATACATAAAAAGATACTTTAAAAAACAGCCAAATATACACTAAAATATGCTCTAAAAAATACTATAAACTTTGTTTTTTTTTTTTTTCATAATAAATGGTATTCACGTAAAAATTTTGTCTGGAGATGAATAATTTGAGAGTTATTGATCAAAATCTATAAACCAAATCAACTATTTCAGGATAGTTTATTCGGTGGTAGTATCGAACATCGGTTCTTGTGAACTAGAACAATGTAAAACTAAAAAGTTAAATATGTCCTTTTGTACATTATTTAAAAGCTTCATATTGCTTAAACATGCTCTAAAAAAAAAAAAAAAAAAAAAAACTGTAAAATATGCGAAATAAAATTTAGGATTTAGATTCTAGAATGTGTACAAAAAGAACAGTATTTACGTTAGTCTGTGCTATTTTGTTCGATCTTTCAAAAAAAAAAAAAAAAATATGCAAACGCTACAGGTCTCTAATCATAAAAATATAAGTACAAGTATAATAACCCGTTTTCGCACACGCGATTTTCACGGCAATGCCTAAAGGCACCTAAAGGACATTAAACGATATTATATCGGGTACGATTCCGATCGCGCCGTTGTAGCAGACGTCAAACAACGTATTAAATCATCTTGACCGAACGATTTTGGGTAATCGGTTCGAACGCCGCGATTTGACATGTTACGGGGTGTGCGTGTGTGAGTGTGTGTGTGTTAATAATAATTAATAACAATAACATATTATACCGTATTCCTAGTGGAACTGACCGAATGACCGGGTTTGAACCGGGTGCGGTAAATCGTCGGCATAACCTATTACCGTATTAATATTATAATGTTATAATTTAATAATAAAAAAAAAAAAAAAAAATGGGTTTCTTTTTTTAATCCGATTCATTTTACAGTCCGGCGCACGATAGCGTAATATTATAATATTACGTCCGTCTACATCATAGTCGCAATCAACTATTTTAACTATTCCCCACCTTCCCGCCACCACCGAACGCAAATTGTTATTGGGCATAAATTCGTCGAGAAATTATTTTTCGGAAAATCGTTATTTGCCGACACCATGTAATATAACGGTAATTATAGTGCGGCGTTGCCATATTTATTGTAGGAGAGGAGTCCGAAATGCTCGACTAATTTTAGATTATAGCCCCTCCAATCGAATCGTTAGTTTTGATACTGCCGAACCTTGTATACAACTACTGTAGGATAGATTTATGCGTATTTAAATGATCGGGGGAAACATAATTTATCCATTTACGCAGTCTAAATCGCATAGGTAGCAGTTATCGGGTGAAATGCTTAGCGAATTATGTCGTTGCTGAAAACGCCGCAGTTTCGGTTAGAAATTTGATCGCGATCGATATTTGATGTGATCGGACGGGGTTTATTAATTTGTGCATTTAACCCTTTAGGGTCTATTTGTTTTTCGTTCCTGTTGACACGTGCTACACCCGAGATAACGTCCTGGTTAACCAGCGCTCGCGAGGAAGTTTTCAAAAGATTACTTATCGGGACATAGCGAATAAGACTTGCACGTGATTTCTAAACACGAACTCCGATCGTTTTACCCGTAGAGACATTCCGATATTCGATTTTTCGTACAACGCTTTGCTGTTCAATGCTCTTCAATCTTACTTCCCGCTTCGATTTCGCGCATGTCCGTGTATTTTTCGCGAAACTTTTCAGCTGAAGGTAAGGGGTTTCTCTACGCTTCCCGGTGCGCCACGTCACACATAACAAACTGTTACAAATACTACTGCTACCGGGCGGTGGAAAATATTCAATAGTGTAAAAATTTAAACGACAATAACCTAAAAACCTAGAAACCTATCACAGCGAAATTTTTGGCTGCGACACTGTTCGCAGCTTTCATTCAAAACTGTGTACCGCTATACGTGGTGGTTTTGCCGTTTCTATTGACTCTTAGACATTAATCCATTTGCTCTACCTTCAAGTGTTGAACATAACCCACGCGTCTGTTGTCATTTGTGTTGTATACTATGTCTTTAATATCGGCGAGAAGTTCGAATTTCACAATTCTTTCCTGACCCGCGAACGTCGTTGGCCACGCGAAACCAGCGGTAAGTACGGGCCGGGCCGCAAACTTCTTCGGACAAAAACCCCGACACACGTTTTGACCGAAATGAACGGAAGAGTTTTACTGAGTTTAATTACGCGGACGTCGAGGGTTCGCGACCGCGACAAATTAAACTAGTTTTTGGGGTTGATGGGTTGAGATCGTGACGGTTGACAAAGGCCGCCGCCCGCATTCTCGGTGGAAAACCTTCGGTATGTGATAAAGATCAACCGCGGCGTCGGATTCCAAAGGCGGACGTTTGCTCTTTCTTTTCCGCGTCTCTTATGGAAAACACCATATCGGAAATCTTCGGGCCGTTTTGGTCGCGACGATAAATGTCCAATAAAACCACCACGTGTATTCGGAAATGCATTTCGGTTTGTCGCAATCCGCTTGTGCCGTTTACCGTGTTTATTATTCATAACACTGGACGTTGATCATCAACGAAACAACGATACGAGAAAACCTGGATCGGATTTTCGAAAACGCATAAACAACCGTTAAATTCGTATTTTACATTGGACGAAAATTATCGGCTACAATGAAAAGCTCCAAACGCCCACCAACCGCCTCGCCAACAGTTGTGACGAAATGTCCGGCGTTATGCACGGCGGTCCACGGCGAAAACTTTTCAAACCTATCGCCGTACGTTACATACCGCAACGCCGTGTAAAATAATGATTTTGATTTATTCGCCGTGGCCGAAGACTAATGGATACCGCGTTTCGCCTGGCGGTTTCGACCGCCCACGCGCGGGTAGTAACGAGCCGATCCGTCAAATCGCCACTCGTTGTACGTACCGCTCGAGTCGTACGCCGATTTAACGTACAAAATCGAAAACGAACCGGGAAACCGCGAAGGAAACACACACGCGTACGCAACACCTCGTGTTGGTTTTACGCGGAATTTCGCACGCCGCGAATCCCCGTCTCGCGCGCGTTTAAACGTGTCGTCGCGAAAGTGTATATTACTATTATTATTATACGCCCGCCGCAATCGATCAACCGTAGAGTTTATCACGTCGTCGGGGTTGCCGAAAAGTGCAATTATTAACGACGCGTGTATAATGGGTGTGTATAGAGTAGTGCGCCTGCGAAACACGTCGACGCGTACCGTTTGCGAAATCCCCCGGCACAATATAATAGAGTGCGTATACCTGTACGATATAATATCGCGTAGAAAATATTTAAAAAAAAAAAACCCCGCGAGCGGCGGAGCTACGCCCCCGCCAGAGTCCCGATTTTCCGTCACCGCGCACTCGCTGAGTTTTCGTATTTTAGTACTCGGCGAAACGACGAACACTGCGCGCGCGTGCAACGACACCGTCGTGCGAACAGACGCACGGACGGACCTGCGGGTACCGTACCGTACCGTTCGCATTCGCGTGAACCGCGGGCTGCGCAGTGTCCGTTCGTAAAGCGCTTTTGTTGTTTCGCGAGCGTGTTTCTCCGTTGACTTCCGGCCCGCTGCGCGTGACAGTGTCGGCAGTGTCGGCGCAACCGGGATTTATTTATTCGGAGGGGGTCTTGTGAATTTGGAAAAATAAAAAAAAAATCAATTTCGGATGGCGTTCGGTACCGTCCGCGCCTGGGGCGGGCGAGGTGTGGTCGGGTTTTCGAGAAAAATATTCGAATCGTTAAACTTTCGTTTGTAGACGACGCATATCGGAAAGCGATTCACACTCGTATTAATCGCGTATTTAAACATACGTTACGAATAAACCATTGTGCATAAATATACAAACGAATCGCACGTGTGGATCTTCTACATTTCTGTTATTGAAAATTTAAAAACTATTATCCGCAATTATCCGCATTTTCCGGTGTAACTACTATTGAATTCCTCGAGCCGACCAGTGGAAGTAGTAGACCTGTAGCCTGCGGCTGGTCGGACGGTACAGTTTACACCGGTGTTATTCATAAAACCGAGCCATTATGGCTCCGGTTGAACTTACCGCATGCGGTTGAACGCGGGAAATCGTCAAATCCCGCAGATTGTGCACCTTGTGTACGCGGAAGGTGTTCTTCATATTTGCAAACGGTTTCGATACTATATCCTCTTATTGGTGTATCTCACAAGTGTTTTTGTCGGGTGGGGGTGGGGGGTTTTCTCTAGTAATATTAGTAATAGACGATAGTCTCGAATACACCTATTCGCGTCGTCCGACCGTATCGTTGTCGTTGAACAATTGCGGTTGTTTTACAACCACGCACCAAACACTTATTGCGGTCGGCACGCAGCGTTCAAAATTCGAAATTCTCGATCAAGTAATATGGCCATACAGGTTTTCAATACTCTAAAATGCCAACTCGCGTTGTTAATCAGTATATTTTAACGACCGCCGACAATATGCTAATTGGTATTTGTTATTATTTTTTTTTTTTTATGCGCAATCGCTAAAAACGTAACTCGTTCACTGAATATCAATATAACTTCGATAACCATACATTAATTAGAAAAAAAAAAAAACGAATACTATATCGTATTAAAGAGTATGATACTCGTACGTTACGGACGAAAAAATAACGATAATAAATAAAATACCGTATTTTTGCACCGCGGTACTTGTAATCTATTGTTACCGTATAATATATTGTGTAGTACTGAACAAAAAAAAAATAAAAATCATGAAAATTATTTTATGCCTAATATGTATTTATCGAAATAAATGTAATAACGGGATTGATTGTTATTAATTCAATACACGACGGAACACGGAAAACCGCAAATTTCGTAAAATCGACGCGATTCTCGATAAACATACCGCGCAAATTGCAGCGATGAAATTAAATTATGACGTAGTACGCGGCTACGA